ATTTAATTTGATTAAGCACTTTTCATGATTTTACCATCTCATCTTAAGATCATCTACATTTGACATTATAGAACAACTGTAACCAGTTGTTCTATTCAAATTGTCATATACAGTATATAATTTTGAGTGTTAAAGGTTTTATAATTTTTCACTATATAGAATATAAGCTTATAATATAATATATTGTTATTTAAAATAATTCATATCATTAACTTAGTTTAATATTTCAAACAGAAATGCATGAAAAATTAAAGGTAGAAAAGTTTTCAACACTATTGGAACTGTTGATAAAATTTTATTCTTATCAATATTCTATAGAAATAAATTATTCAAATAATTTTTAAAAATTAAATTTTATTACTTAATGATTTAATAATATTGAGATTTTCAGTGAAAAAAACAGAAAGATGGATTTAAATCTTTATTTATAAAGTTAAAATCTGGTTGTTGGAAATAAGCTGATCTCATAATGATATCTGTAACAGTGGCGTGCCGTCCTTGGAAGCAGTGGAAGTGCTGCTTTCCTTGTATTTTCTAAAATATGAAAATAATCACACAATATGTATTTATATTTGAACCTATCTTATTACAAATTTCTATACTACATGTGAAAAAAAAACAATAAGATTGCTATTGTATATTTGAATACTAGTGGCAGAATGGAAGCACTGTATTGTCAAAACTGGATCAGCTTCCGTGGCGAAAATATTTGAACAGTGTAAAGCAGACAGATTATAGGCATTCATGCATGCACTTTACAGAGCACCAACCTCACATGGTTTAGCTGGTGGAAGCTACACACTGAAATATCATATAATGCTTTCAGTGATTCTATCCAGGGCTGTTAGATGCCTGCCTGCTTGATATTTGCCACCCTTGCTCCATTATGTGAATCGCTAGTAGATTTATAACTTAATCCAATTAATAGGAATTTACTGATATGTTTTTATGATAGTTCTGTATAGTTGACAAGAGTTTTAAAAAAATCCATTAAAATATTTGATATATTTTGATATATATTTGAAATATTTGATATATTCTGCTTTTATTCTGCTCTCCCACTTGTATTACTTACAGATTTCAATGCTAAACTAGTGATATTATGATTTAGTATGTCCCATCTATAAGGGGATGCAGGAAAAAACGTGTACAATTCTTGTACAATGTTAAAAAATTAACTGTTACTTTGGCAGCATCATTTACAACTAAATGTAATGAATGAGATGCACAAGATACAAAAAAAGCTCTAGAATTTTTCCTTAAATTTACGATTTATGTATCCATTGTCATAAAAATTTGTCTTTCCACTTTTTCCCAAGAGCACAAATATTCAAGTACAAAGTAACCAGTTTCAACTTATTTCTACTAAATAATTAAGAGATTAGGGAATTAGGAACATAAATAAAACCCTGCCGAAAAAGCCAGAATTTTACTTAAAAGCTTAACCAAACCAATCTCTAGCCGAATACAGTGGGGACTGATTTCTTCATAATAATAGATGTAATAAAAACAGAAATTTTCCATTTCAATGAGAGTGACCGAAAAGTTGTAAATTTTGGAAATTTTTATGGACCCTGGTCCTAAAACGAATTAGAAAACAAATAACAGACAATCTATTAAGCTTAAAACATTTAGATTTTTACAGCTATGGTGAGAAACGTTTAAAATTTATAACAACCCTGTCGCATCTTTTGAGGTATATTAGTGATGCAACAAAAGAGGCATTTGACATTAACCAGTATCAGCACCCTCAGGATTTGGCAGTCCATGTGCATGCACGCACCGCACCTATGTCTCTGATTCCATCCATTAGCCACTGGTAAGGAACTATTTGACTAAGTGGATTGTTTTAAGATATAAAAAGTAAAGAAGATTTTATGTTATTTTTAAGTACGTTTCTTTACAAAGCTGTATTTAATTATAATTTTCTTTAAAAGTATATTCATACATTTGCAGGGCTTAAAGCAGTCATGGCAGTGAAGAAAAGTGAAAAAAGAGAGTTCACACTGAAAAAAAAGCTAATAGTGTTAAAGTGAACTAAAAGAGGCATTATTAAAAAAACACACAAATACACACACATTCTGTTCAATAACATTGCATATGATATTAGATTGATTTTTAATTGAACTGAAAAAAATTAAATATGAAAATAGTTAGGCTGAGTTTATACTCCAGAAAAGTGACCAGTAAGACTGCATTAAGCCAAAACGGGCCTGCATTAAGTTTTCATGTGCCCAGTATGGAATTCCTACAGCTATACAGCAAAGGAAATCAAAGAGTAAATAACACCAGAATGTGTCTCCATATAACATGTCAAATTTCAAATGCCATTTATTTCAAGGTACATTTTTTGATTTCTTGTTAAAAAAATTTCTTTTGTTTAAGTCATGCTGCAGTTTCTGCACTTCTCTTGTTTTCTCCTCTTCATCACACTGAATTTTCTTCACACCAGAGTAAGCAATTCACCATAAACTTTATGTATTAAAGGATCATTGCACTAAAAATGCCCAGTAAACTGTGAGTAGTAGATATTCCCAAATAGAGTTTAGTTTTGATGGTAGAACACTTCAATGACTTTGAGATTATCTTATATGAAACACTATTCATTAAGCTGGAATTCTTGAGGAATGTGCTTTAGGAAGTATAATATAAGTCCTTCCCATTGTTCGATCAGTCGTTTTGCTGCAGGACCAAACTTCAGTCATCTAGTTGATGAATACTTCATAAATTTGTTGCATGGCAAATTAAGTTTCTCTTGAATTTCTGTATATTCATCCCACCTAGAGGGCAACCCAGCTGTGTGTTGCTATGATGAGATCACCACCGTCTCTGTCCAACTCTTTCAGGCCTTTCAAAAAGGCATTGTGGATTGTATGAATGCTGCAAGATCCTATGTTGATGAGGTCTTTTTTGCAAGTTGTCAGAATTTTCCTCATTTATGAGATGCAATACTTTTTTGTTTACATTTGGTCCATTGCATCCAATCATCAGTAATTTATCAAAAGGTAGATATGCATCTTCAATTGCCAGTATTATTTTTGATTTAATTGTTTCAGCATCTGCATGCCCAATAAATGAGGTTTGGAGATGCCTGCAGACAATTTCCTGTTGTTCCTCTGACCAGTATCTAATCAATATTTGCAGTTATTTTCTGTCTTCTACATTGCATGTCTCATAAGAAATGCTATAATATGACCATTGTGCATCATCTACCATTTGATCAAAGAAATATGGGGCCACCAAAGCTTCAGTGATTAAGTATCTCAGTTTTTGATGTGACAATGAGAATTCTTTTGGAAGATTGTCTGCACACTTGGCATTGATTGTTTCCTTTATATCATGACATGATGCAAATGAATAATTGCTGGCTGTCATTTTCATAGTCCATATAAGCTCTGCAATGTAAGCACCATCTTTTGCATTACAAAGTTGAAGCACTGGTTGTTGCAATGACTGGTGTTTTGAACTGGCACCTGAATCTACAACATTGCTCACACTAGCAACACTTTCAGCACTAATACTTTGACATTGAGACATCAGAAGGGCAGTCATCAGTCTTAATTGCTTGGGACCAAAGGCTTCGTTGCATTTATTTATATGTTTCTTGCAGCTTTAATGTTGGAGGATTGCAGTATGGGGGTGTGCTGGTCGCTATTTTGTTCCTGAATGCATTTACAAAAATAAATAAATAAATTCCACATGGGAAGTGAAAAAAGCTAAAAAAGCAAGTTTGCCTCAGAAAAAGCTAAAAAAGAGAGGAGCTATGAAAAAAGTGAAAAAAGTGAGTCACTTTAAGCCCTGCAATTGAAGAATATTTTGTACCAGGTATGCGTATCCACCACACATTTTATTTCACCAAGCAAGTTTTTATAATTTTATTTTTAATTTTAGCCCTTATATCATGGCTAGCAAGTGATTCAAAATGTAATTGCGATATTGAAAATTTATTTAAAAGTTTTGGCTCAAGATCATATAATGAAAAAGAAAACATTATTAAAAGAGAAAGGCCAATGCCAATGCCAATGCCTAAGTTAAATATAAACACTTCAACAAAAAAATTTGTTCGAAATTTTTACAATAAAATTTATGAAGACATAAAATGGCTCTGTAAATGCATAAAAATGCAAAAATTGTTTTATTGGCTTGCCTACTATTTTCAAATGAAATTAGTGTATGGAATAAGAATGGCTTTGACAATTTAAATAATTTGAGTAAAGCTGGCAAAAGACACGAAAAATCGTCAATTCTTTCGTAAAATTGAAGCAATTTGGAAATCAAAGCAGAATAGAATTTAACATTAGTAAATAATATAAAATAAATATTGAAAATTATAACGAGATAGTTACGGCTAATAGATATATTATATCTAAATTAATAGATGTTATATGTTTTTTATCAAAGTAAGAATTGGCATTTAGAGGTCATAGAGATTCTATTGAATCTAATAACAGAGGTAATTATATTGAACTTGTTTATTTATTAAGTACGTCAGATAAATAATCTATTAAAAATACATTTAGAGAAGTGTACGATTTTTACTGGCTTATCAAACAAATGAATATGAATGGATCCTAGACCATCACTGACGCAATTAACTGATTGCCCCTGAAAGTTGGCTTCTTACAGAAACACAGCTTCCCTATCATCAAATGTCACGGCATGCCACTGATCCGTAATATATATGAAATGTTTATTATTGCATAAAATAATATGATTTAAATATAATGAACAAACTTTGATGTATGACTATCTTTTCCCCCCTTTATAGCTACTTATATTTTGAATACTTTTGCAAATATTTTGCAAACATGATTACTGTTTCAGCAGATCTTAAGATAAGCAAGAGCAATTTAGAAGATAACTCATTCAACTTTTGCAGCATTCATTTTAAATAAAATTTATGAAATTACAATATATTTAGTCTTGCTTAAACTATAAAATTTATTAATAGTAATTATGAACAGTAAAATTAATATAAAACTATTTAATATTTCATTTAGTTAGTAAAAAGAAGACGACTTCATCATAGTCATATTGTAGAAATTGAACTCATTAAAGGAAATAAAGGATTAGGTTTCAGTATTGCTGGTGGAATTGGTAATCAACATGTCTCTGGTGATAATGGAATATATGTTACTAAAATTATGGAAGGTGGAGCAGCTCATTTAGATGGAAGTCTACAAGTTGGTGACAAGCTACTTGCAGTAAGTTTCATTCATTTTATTTTTAAAGCAATAATTGTTCAGACTTATTATTCAATAATAAATACAATAAATTGAAATAGTTTCAATTTGAGTGAATTTATTTGGATGAATACTTATGAAAATAATTACTGATTAGTAAAAGTGTTTAATTCAGTATTATGATTGATGCAGTATTAAAAAAATTATATCAGAAGAACATAGAAATACAGTCAACCCTCTATAATGCGGTAGATACTTAGATAGATAAATTAGGTACTGTAAGTCTACTTATGAAAATAATTACTGATTAGTAAAAGTGTTTAATTCAATACTTTCCATCTTTGATACTGTCATGATTTTATTAGTCTTTATTAAAGATTATTAAGAAGTTATATAATGTAACACATGTTAATAAAAAATGTAGTATTTCTTTAATTCTAAGATCATGATTTTGAGTAGAATTTTATATATATATATTATACCAAGAAATAGTAATATTCAGCACTCTACAGTCGACAGCCCCCTATAACGCGGGTTCATATAATGCGAATTTGTATATTGCGGTGAAAAAATGCGGTAAAACGTTGTCGCTGACTCGTGTCACGACAGGATTGGTCGAATCTGGACCAATAGTGGAGGAGCAGTTAAACTACTTACATGCTACAGAGAGTTTAGGTGGGTAAGTTGAGTTTACTATAATCTGTACAGTATATAAATTAGGTACTGTAAGTCTAATACAGTACTGTAATTTTATACATTTCTTGTGAAAAAACATTTCTTATTCAACGGCCATAAAAATTATTTCTATTAATGATGTCTCCAAAGTTCAACGAATTTTTCGCAGAAAAATAACTTATCAGAAAACGTGCCTGCTGTTTGGTGCGCCACTCCATGACGAAAACAAGCTTAAGCAATGGCGTGGTCAAACGATGCACACTCTGTAAGTAATCCTACAATTTTTTGTTTATAGCATAGTTTATACAGATTATTCCCAAAAAATTATATGTATTTTGGAAATGTTGAGTCGAATTAATCTAGAATCGATTAATTTTATGGAAGAAAACCTTTCAAACAGCCGTAGTCTGTAAACTGCACACGTGCTGGGCTGTGATTGGCTCATGTATTTAAGGATTCCTACAATGTGAAATTCTTATGAAGTGGAACGTATCTACTGCGTAGGGGGTCAACTGTATTTCTATGTTCTTCTGATATAATTTTTTTAATACTGCATCAATCATAATATTGTCTTGAAGACATTCAAAACATTAAAAGCTGTTTAAATTAAATATTTGTTAATAGCAAAGTTCATTTGAACTGATGTGACTATTAATCAGTGTTGTGAAAAATGTCTTATTATCGGTGCATAACGGATTGTGTAGTCTACTTATGATAACTGTTTATAGTTGTTTTGAACTGTAGATGTGAGATACCATCAATTGTAAGACACATCTCTATTCTGGGCAGTTAAAAATGAATTTAAATAAATACAATAATAAATTTTCATCTATTTGTTAAAATATAATTAAATTTCAGTACTACTGCAGTTTGTGCTTCAGTATTCTGTTAACAAAAAAATTTAGAATAAAACATAGCTTTAAAAAATGTTTAAATAGTTAATAATTACTGTATTATGTTCATTAAAAAGCAAATAATTAAAATCAATAGATTTTAATTATTTGCTTTTTAATGAGCATAATACAGTAATTCATTGTTATAAAAACCATAGCATCAGTAAGTAATGTAGGATGCCATTTAATTTATAGTTTATCAGCTAACTAGATGGAAGACCAATAGATCTAGTTATAATGTATAGCAGACCCCGCCACACGTTGTTGTGGCTCAAAATGTATCTATTATAAATGTATAACACTTCCCCCGTGGGGGGAATTTTTCAAAAAATCCCTTCTTAGTGTACATTCTTTTGATGTACCCTATTAAAACGCAATCAAAAATGCAAAAAAACTGCATCTAAAATAGTATAATAGAAGCCAAGTTCTTCACGGGAAGCCTTAATCCTGTCCCTATCCCTTGGGGGGGAATATCGAAAAATCCCTTTTTAGTGTATATTATATAAAAACACGTGTGTATTCGAATGCAGTGTCGTGTGAAAATTTCAAAGGAATCGGTAGGAACAAACAAACATTACATTTTTATTTATATAGATAGATAAAAGATTTTCTGCTTTAGTTCATCTTCACAGAAAAGCAAACTTAGGTCATTGTACTCGTAGTGCCATCTGTTGGACATAAAAGCCTTAACCCTAGATGATCTCTTTTAATTTATATGAATGTTTAATGGAATAATATACAGCCTATGTCCACCCTGAAGTTCCATTCTAAATATTGGTGAAAGAATTTTTGAAATTGGATGAGTAGTTTTGGAGATTACCCGCTACATACAAACTTACAAACATTACCTCTTTATAATATTAGTATAGATAGAGGATTCAATTTATAAGGTAGAAATCTAAATTTGGAATACTATTTCATTAAAAACATATTAACATCATTGATTCAGGGAGTTGTAAAAATCTGATATTAGAAACAGTTTCACTATGTATCTTTCTGAATTCATATGATAAGAAAATTTCAATGTGTGTATGAAATAGGATTAAGTACAATTTTATGTATAATAATAATAATTGCTTCAGACAAATGAAATATTTGAGCTATTCACAGGAAAAATCATTTAACTCCATTCATAAATTTTTGAAATAATTGTCATTATTTTTTATATTTTTCATGTAACTAATTTTATGTTTTAATGGTTGTTTTAATTTTTTATAATGGTATAATGTTTTCAATTTTTATGTTATGTGTCATTACATTAAAACATAGCTTTAACGTAACGACATATCAAAAAACATTCTACAATGTTTATTTAAATTTAAAGTTTATATTTCTCTACTTTTTCTTTTGTGAAGTTAATCAATTTGGCAAGTGAGCCACTTATTTATTACCAAACTTGTATAAAATGGAATTAAATTAATTTAAGATATATCAATTAAACATACAAATAAGACTTTGTTTTAATTAATATACATTTACTACATATAATATAATTATTTCTGTGTAAATAGGTTGGTGACAGAAATTTAGAAAATGTGACCCATGAAGAAGCTGTAGCTACTTTAAAAGCTACTATGGACAAAGTGGTGTTGACTGTGGCAAAGATTCGACCACCCCCTGTGTATATGAATCATTCTCTTCCTCCACCGCCACCACCACCCGTCCAACCACCAGCATCTGAACCAACTCGTATGGTGACACCACCTTGTAAGTTATTATTTTACATATATATTCACATTTGTGCTGAAATTTGTGAATTATGTATTTCTGTGGCTGTATTTTTTTTTAAATTGCTCTGTAAACATTTTGTAATATGCTTCTGACAAAATCAATAAATTTAGATTTCATCAGAAGCATATTACAAGATATTTACAAATCATAATAAACTTGTGCTATTATAATTTGAATTTGAAAATACAGTAGAGCGTCGTTTATCCGAATCAATTGGGGACTGAGGTTGTTTGGATAACTTATTTTTCAGATAACCGATTATGTACGAAAAAATATATTAACCTATCCCATGTTGACATTTTTCCCATTGCATGTCACCTTGCGTTGAATTTTCATCGATGTTAAGCCTAATGTAAACTTTTTAAAATAATAATCGTGGCTATTGTATCATTAAAAATTATTTCTTTATTTTGTTTGTACAAAATAAATATATTGAAAAATTTAAATTTGCCAACTGGAATTCTTTCGGATAAATGACGCTCTACTATATATAATTTATACTTAATTTCAGTTATAAGTCTCAATCTTTTTATTTCCTTAAATTTTCAGTTTCTTTTACATATTGAATAATGTAAATTATAAAATTGCCTTCAAATTAAGATCAAGCCTTTAATGTTTCCAACTACTTTTAGTAGTCAACTTCTGGTTACGTATTCAAATTTACCCATAGATGTCGATAAATGAGCCGCTGATTTTGAAAGTGGGGCAAGTCCATTTTATGTTATTGCTAGATATTTAATGGTTTGCATTTGAATGAGTTTAAAAATATTTGTAAGCAGTAATAGACCTATTTTATATTTTTTTGGTCTTATTTCATGTAAATTTAATATGCAATAATGGTTATCCATGTTAGATGAAAAAATCATGGTTTTGGTATATGCCAATGGACTTGCCTCACTTTCAAAAGCAATGATTTATTGAAAACATTGATTTTCTTTGAATGGAATATAGTTATAATAACAAAAAATTGAATATTTTATTTATTTATTTACTTGTTTATTTTCATGCTTCAATATCAAAAGCGCTCAGCAACTAACTAAAGATAAACAAAACACCTTTTTTGCCGAGAAATATAATTTTTAAACAACAAACGTTTTCAGCCTAATTAATAGGCCATCTTCAGGTTGAAAAATACAACGGAACGTAAATGTTCCATGAATAGAACATAAAAATTTAAATCAAAAATTTTTTACAAGAGAAAATAACGGAAGAATATTTAAAAATTAAAATAAAACACTAAAACAAAAATAACATAAATCTTCAATGTATTAATTCTGGTCGGAGCTTGTAGTATATTTCTTAACCAAATATTTCCATGCCGAAGGCAGGCTCTCGGANTCAAAGTCGGCAGATTTTTTGATGACTCCGACTAAAACACCAAAACTCCACGACTCCAACTCCACAGCCCTATTAAAAAGTACTAAACAAAGTAGTCTACATATACATAAAAACTTAACATTGCAAATCATTTCACTATAAAAATACAAAAGTACAAAATTACCTACAGAAATAACAAAAACCCAACATAACAAACTTGACAGGGTAACCAAGCACGTTCGTCACATGTCTGTTAATGAAATCATCAAAATATTGCAGTCAAATAATCTTAATATTATTTGCATTCTTAACTGTTTTCACAAACACATATATGCGAAAACACAAGTATAGTGACTACGTTGTTGTATTCACACTGTAATCTAACTGTAGAGAACCCAATTTGAATTACAAATTCTGCTCCGCCAATTCGTCACACAGAACTTGAACAACCAAACATTGTAACACAAAAAAACTTTAATCTTTAATCTTGCTTTTGGACTCCACCACTTCACTACTGCTTCCTCTCTCTCCTGATCTACCTGCTCTTCTGTCTTCCTTTCCCAAATACCTTTTTTCCCTTCCTTTTTATGGCCCTTTGTCTACATTTTTTTGTTACCTTTACAACTGCATGCAAATAGATTGCATCTGGACCAACAAAATCACAGTTGAGGGAGGACAAGGAGTTCCAATATCACTACACTGACCTAAGTTAGACAAATTAACATAGGCATGTTGAAAATATCAGTCAGTCCTGCCATTTATTCAAATGTTCGTGTTGGTGAGCAGCATGTTGCCAAACATTCGTAAATAAATGTTGCTTCATTTTAAAATAAAAGTCACTGATTTTGCCACAGATATTTTGAAAAGTTGCTACTTTGTTGCTACTCAATAAACCAGTTATTAATTTAGACTTTGATATTAAAAAGAGTTTGCAAGGGTAGCAGTAAACACTTTTGCTTCTTTCTGAAAATATCAGCCAATTTCTCTTTTCCATAATTTTATTTGATTTCTTTCTCATGATCATAAATCTTTCTCATGATCAAAAATAATCATAAGAATGTCCTTTGTAATACTGTGTTGTTAATGTCACTTAATCTCTGTCTTTATACACTGATTTCAAATTCTCTATATTCCCAATACTTTTTGGTTTGTTTTAAGAATATGATCAATAATAGCATCTGTTAATATTGTTAGCCATAAAGCTATATCATTTATTATTTCCATGTCTATATTCAAGCGTCTTTCTGGACTATTTCTATCTTCTCTGTTTTTGCAATCCCTTTTTTCAGTAGCATTTTAAAGACCTTGGGGGCCCCTTTGCGGCCACATAGTTCACTTACTGCTTAATCCGCCACTGAGGTATACACCACATATGCGTACCACTGTAAAGTAAAAAAATGATGTCAGAATTTCTGCACCATTTACAACCTCAGGACTAAGATTTTATTCAGGAGTTACCATGTTTTCAACTTATCAATTTTAAAAAAATCCCCAGGCAGATTTATTTTTGTTACAAAATGTTACCTTTACAGATTTCTAGCTCTGCACACTGTAGAAAAATCTAGAAATACAGTTTTTGTATATCGTAATAATATTAATCGTTGCCAGAGAGCACTATAAAGTAGAGAAAAATCTGTAAATTTGAAAACTATAAAAATAAATTTCAAAATTTGCTACTTTGACTGATTAGTCTGCAGTCGCCACTACATCACTATGTCTCTCTAAAAGTTGCCACAGTTGGGAACACTGGTGAGTAGACATCTAGGGTCTAAGTAAGGCAAAATGTAATTGCCAAACCATGCAGTAGAAAGACAGAAAAATTTTAAATTTAAAAATATAATTTCTTGTGAACAACATTTTGAGCCCCCTTTCAAGTGGACCCTGTGCAGGTGCACCTGTTGCACCTGCCTAGTTACAGCTCTGGTAGAAGCAAAAGCAATAAAAGCAAAATGTTGTGGGCCATAGATTGTATAAACGTAAGATTAAAAATATATCTTGAGATGAGCTGAGCTGACCATAAAAATTCTAAGCTATAGTTCAGCTCCACTTACTTAGTAGAATTTTATATATATAAATCAGTATTCATAATCAATAAACTTTAACTAATATATATATACTGTACTAATATATATATTAGTTAAAAATACTAATATATATGAACTGTTGATTTTGAAAGTGGGGCAACTCCATGTTATGTTATTGCTAGATATTTAATGGTTTGCATTTGAATGAGTTTAAAAATATTCATAAGCAGTAATAGGCTTATTCTATATTTTTCTGGTCTTATTCCATGTAAATTTAATATGCAATAATGGTTATCCATGTTAGGTGAAAAAACCATGGTTTTGGTATGCACCAAACTTGCCTCACTTTCAAAAGCAATAATTTTCTTTGAATGGAATATAGTTATAATAATGAAAAATTGAATATTTTATTTTACTTATTTATTTTATTTCAGCATTCCATACTTCTTTTGAATAGTTATAATAAAACAAAAAATAAATAAATTTTATAGGAAAAAGTTGATAAAATAAGAAAAAATATTTAGTAATAAGTTGCATGCATATAATTATATTTCTTAGTTCAGATGGTGCAGATTTTTAAAGTATTCATGATGAATGGGTGGTACAAAGGATAATAAATCCATCATATCTTTATATTTTTCATTAGAGTGAATTTGCCTCACTTTCAAAATCAACTCACAATAAATATTGTTGACGATATAAATTACTAGTAACAAATTTATACTAATATTATAAGATATTTATTGTGAATTGATTAAAAACAAAAATTTTTACTTTTCCGGCTGTTATATATAACAGCCAGAAAAGCAATTAACTTTGTTTATATAATCTTTACATAATGTTCACATGCATCAAAATTTTTTATTTTAATCCCTTTAAAAAAAACAAAAGATAGTAATCTTAATAATAACAATAAAATTAATTTAAATAAACCGCATACAAATGAATAATCTATTTACATATATTTAACAGAACTGTTCAATTAAATTATATTTTCTACAAATTGTTAAAATAACTGTATAAAACACATAAAAGGAACTAAAACAACAAGTTTATGATTTTTATTTTAAATTAAAGTAAAATACTGAAAAACATTGAAAATAAAATGTTTTCAAACTAATAAATTATATTAACAGAAAATTTGAACAAAATGAAAATATCATATCAACTCTTTATTTATCCATAATTTACATTATGGTGGAATATATGAAATTATTTATTTATACATGGTATGTAAAATTAAAAGTTTGATTTTTATTGAANTTTTTTTCACAAAATGAACTTGCTCCACTTTCAAAATCAATGGCTCAAATATGTAATCTGAAGAATTTTATGTCTTTTGAATTAGAAGATTTAATTGTATTTAAAAAAACATTTTACAGATCAAAAATATTTGTTGGCGTGATCATTTTAAAAATGATAGGTCATCAGTCGTAGATCCACTAATTCTATTATATCTATTGTTATACATGTTTGAATGTATTGTTATACATTCAAAAGCCTAAACTCAAGCAAAAAATTCTTTATTTGTGTGAATGTTTTTGTCCACATTTCATTGGATATCATCAGACTGTAAATTGAAAATGGGCCATGATGTTTGAATATTTGAATCCAACA